AAAATTAAAAAAATTAAATTAAATTTACTAAAATTCAACTATAAAAAATGGAAACGCCTATCATTCCCGGCGGCGTAGGATACTCCCTAACGCGGGCAGCAAGGAGAAAGTAAACTACGGCTGTTCCTATCTTTCCACCGATCGACAAACAGCAGAAAGCACCTAAGAAGATGGAGCTTAGACCGGGATTGTCAGCTCTGGTCACCGGCGGTGCCTCTGGGATCGGTAAACTTCTGAATTTTGTTCTTCTTTGCTGTTTATCACTTCACTTCATGATTTCAACGTTCATGTCTTTTAGAAAATTCGGTGTGGATTGGTAAAATGAAGAATAACAATTCGTGTGAGAGAGTTGGATATGAGCCTGTTTGAATTGATTTCAGTTTGGATTTTGTTTCTGTTTCTGTTTCTGTTTTTGTTTTTGTTTTTGTTGATCTTTTGTCTCTTTAGTTGGTGATTCAATTTTGAGCACTAATATTGTAGTGAACAGGGGAATGAGGTTGTGTTTGGTTCTGCAAGAAATCAAACGGTTAAAGTTGTGTTTTTAATTTGATTCTGTAGTGAACAGGAATGAGGTCATGTTCTAGGCGCTTGATTTTTAATAGTGAAAACTGTTTTTTTTTTTCAAAATTTAAGTGGCTACTGCAGTTCATTTTCTATCTTGATTGTTAATTGTTAGATCTATTTTTAAAGTGGAATTGGTGTGTGGAGGAACTCGAGTCCATTTCAACATCTTTTATAATGGTATTTGGTTGTGTCACATGTGTATCTGCACATACACACCTATGTGGTCATAGTTTCAACTTCCTGGAAGCTCTCCTGATGTTTTAACTTTAATGATTGATGTTATTTGTTAACTCAATGATTGATGTCATCTATGGGTAGGATTTTATAAATGCTTTTACTTTTTGTATTCTATAAATGTTTTGATTGTGCAATATGTCATATAGTCTAATCCTATGTATTATGTAATGGTTGATTTGTAGGTAAAGCTCTGAGTTTAGCTCTTGCAGCAAAAGGAATATTTGTGAGTATTGTTGATTTCTCTGAAGAAAAAGGAAAGGAAGTTGCAGCACTTGTAGAACAGGAGAATGCTAAGTTCCACGAGAAGTTGGAATTCCCAGCTGCTATATTTATAAGATGTGATGTCACTAACACAGGTTTGTGTAGAGATATTTTTTTGTAAATGAGAATTTTGTGTGCTTCTTGTTTTATCTTTTTGCTTTTTCTTCTGAATGGTTGGCATTGGCTAATTGGCTTTAAGTTCATAGCCATTAGAAAAGCTTTCCTATTAATAAATATTAATGCCTCTCGTTGCATGATAGAGGATGATAACTAAAGATGATGGTAAGTTTCATGTTTAGGTGTCCATTTCTTGAAATCTTTGAACATTCATAAAGTTTAAGTATTAAAGACTTGTTCCTTTCTTCTTCTTGAGTCATGACATTTCTTGTTGCCTTTATGTTTTATTTATTTATTATTATTATTATTATTATTTTTATTTTTATGACAGGAGATATAACTGCTGCATTTGAGAAGCATGTAACAACATATGGAGGACTGGATATCTGCATTAATAGTGCTGGCATTGGTAATCGAATACCTTTTGAGAATGATCAAACTGATGGCAGTAATTCATGGAGACGTGTTATTAATGTGAACCTGATTGCAGTTATTGATTGCACACGGCTTGCGGTATGCTTTAAG